GGAGTTTAGAATATGTGTGCTCCTGGCACAAGTAGCTAATTTTGTTTTCCAATTTACATCAGGAAGATTAAAGTCACCTATGATGATAACTTCCCCCTTCATTGTCATTTTAGCTATTTCCTCAACTAGTAGATTATCTAACTCTTCAATTTGTCCTGGGGGCCTATAAATCACACCTACACAAGTTACTGTGTGATTACCAAATTCTAACGTAGCCCAAACAGACTCTATGTTTGCCTCACTAACTTTTATTAGGCTAGATTTTATGCTATCCTTCACATACAGGGCCACCCTCCCCCTTTCTTGCCTTCCCTATCTTTTCTATATAAAGAGTACCCTGGTATTGCTATGTCCCAGTCATTTTTCTCATTATAGCATGTCTCAGTAACAGCGACTAAATCTACACTATCAGTTGCCATTATTGCCACAAGTTCATGGATCTTATTCCCTAAACTGTGAGCATTTGTAGACATAACTCTAAGCTTATCATTTTTTAACACACTTGCTACAGGCACCTTCTGTCCTTGTTTTGGGGGACAATTGGATTGATGTTTTATCACCCTTTTGCCCCCCCTCCTAATTTAAATACATCCTAGCAAAACCTCTGAACTGCTCACTGAGAACATTTGTTCCCTTTTGAGAAAGATGCAAACCATCTTTTTTGTACAATGTGAAAATAAATGTACACAAAGTGGTAGAAAGAAGAATACAGCAGCTCAAATACACTTAATAAGTGGTATTCCCTACACCACTATAAATACATAAAATACATACAAAACAAATAGGCGGAGCCACATAAAATCTTGAATAATCATCATTAGGTCAAGATTTTATGCGGCTCCGCCTATTTGTTTTGTATGCATCTTTTTTGTACAGCTTATCTCCATTCCAAACAGAGCTACCATGAGAAATAAAGCCATCAAGGAGGATTAGGATAGAGTATTGGCCGCGAGATTTAGCAGCAATTCAATCGTTGGATACTCATGTCCATCAAATTCAACCCTAAACACATCTTTTTATGCTGCAAAAAAAACCAAATGAACCAATGATCAATTCTGCCACAAAAAGAGGAAACAAATTATTTATTGACTTGATCAAGGCAGTCAGATTGATCATTGGGTGAACAACCCACAAGCATGTTAATTATATCCTTAAACATTCTGGTATTCCAAAAAACATTTCAGACTTGTAAAAAAAAAAAAGTATCTACAGATTTTCACAAGACAACCTCTTTAGGCAGAGAATTCTAAATCATTATTGTTCTTACTGTAGAGAACCCTTTCCTCTGCTGTAAGTAAATTCACATTTCTTCCAGTCTCAATATGTAACCTCTTTTCTGTTATACAGTGCCTTGCAAAAGTATTCACCTCCTCATTTTTCGTGTTTTGTTGCATCACAACCTGGAATTAACATGGATTGTTTGAGGATTTGCATCATTTAATTTACAGAACATGCCCACTAGACATGTGCAATTCGTTTCGGTCCGAATGTGAATTCGGATGAATTTCGGGCAATTCGGACATTCGGGTACTTCCGAATAGATGAATTGCCGAATGGTTGAAGTCCCGAAATTCCAGAATTACCAAATTTCCAAAGTGTTGAATTGCCGAAGTTCCGAAGTGCTGAAGTTCCGAAGTTGCCGAAGTTCCGAAGCACAGTATTGCCTAAGAACTAATATACTTACCCAGTGGAAAAATGAAGAATGTTACATTGTATACAATTTTAAATAAAACGTATACAAACCTAGCCAGGATTCAGCTGTAAGCATTTGCAACACTTACAACAATCAAGTAACATACATTCATATAAAATGTAAGTTACTTAGCCAGTCAGTGTAATGACAGGAATGAATAAGTAGATAACTCCCTAATTCCCACGGTATTAGGGAGCTATCTACTAAAAGGCTGAAGGACCTAAATTGGTCTTTCAGACAAATTTACTAATACGAAGTAAAGATTACTTAGTATTAGGAAATTATGCCCCTACTCGCTATACTACGAGTAGGGGCATGTCTATTAAACAGCGAGCAGTCTATGGCTGCTCACTTAAAAAAAAAAAAAAAAGCCCCCCGTGCTGCGCGAGTGGGGACTTCTAACCAGAAGGAGGGACCTATTGCCCCCCTGGCCCCCACCTCTGAACGGCGGGTGGGGGCCCTACAGTAAAATAAGGGGGGGGACCTAATGTCCTCCCCCTTCGCCCCCACCCCTGAGCGGTGGGTTGGGGCCCTACAGTAAAATAAGAGGGGGGGGACCTAATGTCCTCCCCCTGGCCCCCACCCCTGAGTGGTGGGTGGGGGCTCTAAATACTAATAAGGACCTTATGTCCTCCCCCCTGGCCCCCACCCCTGAGTGGCAGGTGGGGGTCCTAAATACTAATAAGGGGGGATGACCTAATGTCCCCCGCTGGCCCCCACCCCTGAGCGGCGGGTGGGGGCCCTAAATTGGAATAAGGGGGGGGGACCTAATGTCCTCCCCCCTGGCCCCCACCCCTGAGCGGTGGGTGGGGCCCTACAGTAATATAAGGAGGGGGACCTAATTTCCTCCTCCCTGTCCCCCACTCCTGAGTGGTGGGTGGGGGCCCTACAGTAAAATAAGGGGGGGACCTAATTTCCTCCCCCCTGGCCCCCACCCCTGAGCAGTGGGTGGGGGCCCTAAATACCAATGGGGGGACCTATTGTCCTTCCCCGGCCCCCACCCCTGAGCGGCGGGTGGGGGCCCTAAATAAAAATGTTACCTCCCCCAGGTGACTAGGGGTCCCCAAACCCTTAGTCACCCCCTCCCCCCCCAAAAAAAATTAACCCCTACCTGCCCCCCTCACCCTAAAAATAATGAGGGGGGGACCTTTAACTAAGTACCTGTAAAAAAAATAAAACTTACCATTTGATGTCTTCTTTCATCTAAAATCCAAAAAAGGCCTAATAAAAAGCCATAATAACCGACGCACTGATTGGTTACTTAATCCACCAATCAGAGTGCTATGAGTCAAATCACACAGCGTGGGAAAATTCCAAAGAACTTTCCCACGCTGTGTAAAATGACACAGAGCACTCTGGTGGATTTCAAGCTAACCAATCAGAGTGCTGGGACAGGTAAATGTAGAAACTTACCTGTCAGTCTCTTCATTTACCTGTCAGAGCACTCTGATTGGATGGCTTAAACCCACCAATCAGAGGTCTCTGAGCCTAATTGCAGGGTGGGGCAAGGCTTTATAAACCTTCCCCCGCCCTGCAGAGCTCAGTCTGCGCGGAGCCCTCCATGGGTGAAGATGGATTTTTTTTTTTGCGTGGGTTATTATGGCTTTTTATGTGCCCTTTTTTGGGGCTGAAAAAATAAGATTTTAGAAGAAAGACGACATCAAATGGTAAGTTTTATATTTTTTTACAGGTACTTAGTTAAAGGTCCCCCCTCATTATTTTTAGGGTGAGGGGTGTAGGTATGGGTTAATTTTTTTTGGGGGGAGGGGGTGACTAGGGGTTTGGGGACCCCTAGTCACCTGGGGGGTAACATTTTTATTTAGGGCCCCCACCTGCCGCTCAGGGGTGGGGGCCGGGGAAGGACAATAGGTCCCCCCATTGGTATTTAGGGCCCCCACCCACTGCTCAGGGGTGGGGGCCAGGGGGGAGGAAATTAGGTCCCCCCCTTATTTTACTGTAGGGCCCCCACCCACCACTCAGGAGTGGGGGACAGGGAGGAGGAAATTAGGTCCCCCTCCTTATTTTACTGTAGGGCCCCCACCCAGGGGGGAAGACATTAGGTCCCCCTCTTATTCCAATTTAGGGCCCCCACCTGCCGCTCAGGGGTGGGGGCCAGCGGGGAACATTAGCTCATCCCCCTTTATTAGTATTTAGTGCCCCCTACCCACCACTCAAGGGTGGGAGCCAAGGGGGAAGACATTAGGTCCCCCCCTTATTCCAATTTAGTGCCCCCACCCACCACTCAGGGGTGGGGGCCAGGGGGGAGGACATTAAGTCCCCCCTTATTAATATTTAGGGCCCCCACCTGCCGCTCAGGGGTGGAGGCCAGGGGGGAGGACATTAAGTCCCCCTCTAATTAGTATTTAGGGCTCCCACCCGCCGCTCAGGGGTGGGGGCTAGGGGGGAGGACATTAGGTCCCCCCTCCCTTATTAGTATTTAGGGCCCCCACCCGCTACTCAGGGATGGGGGCCAGGGGGGAGGATATTAGGTCCCCCCCTTATTAGTATTTAGGGCCCCTACCCACCGCTCAGGGGTGGGGGCAACGGGGGAAGACATAAGGTGTCCCCCTTATTCTAATTTAGGGCCCCCACCCACCGTTCAGGGGTGGGGGCCAGGGGGAGGACATTAGGTCCCCCCCTTATTAGTATTTAGGGCCCCCACCCACCGCTCAGGGGTGGGGGCCAGGGGGGAGGACAATAGGTCTCCCCCAGCATTTTACTTTAGGGCCCCCACCCGCCGCTCAGGGGTGAGGGCTGGGGGGGAAATAGGTGGTCCCCCTTTAGTTTAAAAGCCCCCACTCACGCAGCACGGGTGGGGCTCGGGAGGGGGGACCTTTTTTTTTTTAAGTGAGCAGGCTGCTCACAGGCTGCTCACTGTTTAATAGACGTGCCCCTACTCGCAGTATAGCGAGTAGGGGCAAAATTTACTAATACTAAGTAATTTTTACTTAGTATTAGTAAATTTGGCTGAAAGACCAATTTAGGTCCTTCAGCCTTTTGGTAGATAACTCCCTAATACCGTGGGAATTAGGGAGTTATCTACTAAGTGGCTGCAATAGAAGTCCCGAAATTCCAAAATGCAGAAGTTCCGAAATGCCAAAGTTCCAAAATTCCAAAGTTCCGAATTGCTGAAGTCCCGAATTTCGGAATGCCGAACCGAAAATTTTCCCCATGCACATGCCTAATGCCCACAACCTTGAAGATGTTTTTTTTTTTTTATTGTGGAGCAAACAACAAATAGGACAAAATAACAGAAAAGTCAATGTGCATAATGTAGCGGAGAGGTAGTATAATCCACAATATCTCCGCTGGGTAACAGGAACAGCATAAAATAATCCAGGTAAATAACTACAGCATACAATAATCCCGGTAGCGTTGTAAGAATCCTTCCTTCCCAAGAACTAGACGACACATAGGCTGGGAGTCAACTGAGGTTTTATTCACAGGTCACAGTATTTATGCAAGTCCCCATGCAAGGGGTTTCCCTACTGACATTCCAGGGGTGGGACAGTAGGGGACTACATGGGGAACTGACCAACACATACATTTCTCCCATCATGCACTGCTGGACAAGAGGGATACTCCCCTTGGAATATACCGTTAATGGGATAATCCCTCCGTGCAGCAGAACTTACATTTTACATTAAAATGTATAACTTTAATAATATTCACTTGATTTACACGAATGGACGTTCGGTAGATAGCTGGAGGCTGAGCGCCTAGTTCCTGAGAATACCGCTCAGCTCCCAGTCTAACTAACCGAACGCCGCACGAAATACATATTATTTTCAACACACTGTTAAAATACCGATTAGTATAAGGGGAACAAACTACCGAACGCCCAGGGCTCCCGAACGGCCTGGAAGTCCAGCGGGGTTCGCGCTGTCGAGTAGCTGGTTTTAGTTCCAGGCGCTCGACGGCAAAACCCCGCTGAGCTAACAAAGGAACCAAAATGGCTGACCGCCGCATGGTCGGTAGTTGAACGACGGCCACCTAGGGAAGCTTTTAACTACCGATTGCAACAATGTTGCAATCGGTTAATGGGCGCCACACGACCTCCTGTGTGTTGTCGACCATTTGGTAGTTAATTCGTTTCACGAACAGTGTTTAAACTTACTGTTCGTGAAACTGCATAGGAAATTATGGGTTTTCAGTATTAAAAGCATACGAACGCTCTCGTTCGCATGAAAGCCACATCTACTATTATACTTGGTTCTTACAGCAAAAGCAATGATATCCCCACATGTAATACAGAAATAGTCTTAAGTGGCTAGTTTTGCCACACATAACTATTCACCCCCCTAAAGTCAATACTTTGTAGAGCCACCTTTTGCAGCAATCACAGCTCCAAGTCACTTTGGATAAGTCTCTATGAGCTTGCCACATCTTACCACTGGTATTTTTGCCCATTCCTCCTTGCAAAACTGCTCCAGCTCCTTCAAGTTGGATGGTTTGAGCTTGTGAACAGCAATCTTTAAGTCTGACCACAGATTTTCTATTGAATTGAGGTCTGGGCTTTGGCTAGGCCATTCCAACACATTTACATGTTTCTCCTTAAACCACTCAAGTGTTTCTTTAGCAGTGTGTTTGGGGTCATTGTCCTGCTGGAAGGTGAACCTCCGTCTTAGCCTCAAATCACGCACAGAGTGATACAGGTTTTGCTCAAGAATATCCCTGTATTTAGCACCATCCATCTTTCCCTCAAATCTGACCAGTTTCCCAGACCGGCTGCTGACAAACATCCCCATAGCATGATGCTGCCACCACCATGTTTCACTGTGGGGATGGTGTTCTTTGGGTGATGAGATGTGTTGGGTTTGTGCCAGACCTAGCATTTTCTTTGATGGTTGAAAAGTTCAATTTTAGTCTCATCAGACCAGAGCACTTTCCTCCGTACATTTTGGGAGTCTCCCACATGCCTTTTTGCAAACTCAAAACATGCCATTTTGTTTTTTGCTGAAAGTAATGGCTTTCTCCTGGCCACTCTGCCATAAAGCCCAACTCTATAGAGCGTACAGCTTATTGTCGTCCTATGTACAGATACTCCAGTCTCTGCCGTGGAACTCTGCAGCTCCTCCAGGGTTACCTTAGGTCTCTGTGCTGCCTCTTTGATTAATGCCCACCTTGCCCAATCCGTGAGTTTTGGTGGGTGGCCATCTCTTGGCAGGTTTGCTGTTGTGCCATGTTCTTTCCATTTGGTTATAATCGATTTGGTGGTGCTCCTGATGATCATCAAAGATTTGGATATTTTTTTATAACCTAACCCTGACTTGTACTTCTCAACAACATTGTCCCTTACTTGTTTGGAGAGTTCCTTGGTCTTCATGGCAGTGTTTGGTTAGTGGTGCCTCTTGCTTAGGTGTTGCAGCCTCTGGGGCCTTTCAAAAAAGGTGTGTATATGTAATGATAGATCATGTGACACTTAGATTGCACACAGGTGGACATCATTCCACTAATTATGTGACTATTGGTTGCACCACAGCTTTTTATTGGCTTCATAACAAAGGGGGTGAATACATACGCACATGCCAATGTTCTGTTTTCTATTTCTAAAAAATAGTTTTATGTATATATTTTTCTAATTTCTCTTCACCAACTTAGACAATTGTGTTCTGATCCATCACATAAAATTTAGATTAATAAAACATTGAACTTAAGGCTGTAATGTAACAAAACAGGTAAAATGCCAAGGGGGGTGAATACTTTTGCAAGGCACTGTATATTCCTGCTAATGGACAGGTTAGTAGGGTTTGTACTGACCCTGTGTATATTTTGTATAATGCTATCATGTCCCCTCTGAGGCACCTTTTTTCTACAAAAAACAAATACAGCCTTTCTAGCCTGTCTTCATAACTACGTTTTCCATCCCCCTTACTCGTTTTTTTAACTAACCTCTTTTTTTTAGTTCTACAATATCCTTCTTTAAAACTGGCCAAATAAGTGTTAGAGGGTAATCCTGGTTTCCCTCGTCAGCTGTTTTATGTGTATTATCTGTGTTTTGGCGATGAAGAAAAAAAAGGTCAATATTCATTTTATGATCAGATCATGCTTCTCTTTTGGTGTTCCCCAGTTGAGGTCCAATCAGTATATTGTACGGTGTGTTGTTGCGGGGTGGAACCTCACGCCACCCCCACCCCGCTCTTTGTGATACTGGCTGTGAAACTGATTTTGGTCTTAAGTAGACATATAACCATAAAGTACATGATATGGGGATACCATGTACTTTATGGTATTGTGTCTAATTAAGACCAAAATAAGTTTCACAATAAACTCACATTGTGACGGAAGAACTATGTAAGGTTCACTTTGTATTACAGGACTGAGTGTGGATGAACTCAGATGGGTATTAGGAAATGGAGGCCAATGAGTCAGCAGTCAGCCCCAGCCAAACTCTGGTTGTTTATATGTTCTTCCCTTATGGTAGCCCTATCATTGGAGGGGTCCATGACTTTCTGAATTGTCAAGAATGCACCCAAATCAAAGCCGTACATTTTGGTTGCTAGGATACCTGCAAGGCCCCCATGACTTCTTGGCCTCAATGGCCAACACGTTTCAGTTGCTAGGATACACACCAGGCTCCTCATACTCAGTTGCCTGGATACACAGCATTCTCCTCATACTCAGTTGCTAGGATATATATAATGTGCAAGTATATAAAGTTTCTTTCTTTTGGTTGCTAAGATACCATCGGCCTCAATCTATATTGTTTGGACCTTGCCGTGCATTCTGTGAAAGAGGAATCTTCTAATATATATTATCTCTCTCTCTGTAAAACAGAACCTTGCTCCCTTTAATGTGTTCAGACACATCTCTCAGGTCCATCAATGCTCCCTATGTATTGCGTTTGGACGTGTTTGTGCCTAATTCACTTTTCAAATTTACAATATAGATCCTGGGTGGATGTTGCATTTTGGGGCATTTTAGCATCTCGTCAATTCAATCTACTCCATAAAATTAGATTGTTTGCACATGTAGACCCTCCCGGGAACCTGGTGTACCCCTAAATAAGAGTGATGGATCATTTAGGCATTATTATAGTTTTAGGGTAGGTGTTTATAATTAGGGGGTTTAGAGGAAGCTAACCTTAAAGATAATGCAGTCTGTAACTCTTATCACTCTTGGACACACTTTAACTGGCAACCACCCATATGTATACTCATATAAGCATAATCATACTCTTCTTATAGCCCTACATCTCCTCATACTGAATCACATTAGCCCTTTCTATCCCTGAGCCCTGCAGGTACATTATTGCTCATGAAGGGGTTAAAAGCTGACATCCTATGACATCCGATGAGGCATCCAATGGCTGCCAATAATGGTTTATTGATTTACTTAAAATTCCATACATTTACTTATCCCTAGAGGAGCTATCGTGTTGGTAAATAATTTATATATAATATCATTTATTATTAAATATAAATCCACTATACCAGTTTGGGATTTTCAGTTTGTGTTCCGGTTTCAGCATTAGATGAAAATTCTTCAGTAACTTTGACCCAATCTGTTTGCTCGTAGTCAGATAATCGTGTGTCTCTGATGAGTAAAAACATGGATTGTGTTATACATCGCTAATGATAGTCATTATTTAGAATACTCTGTACAAACATTTACTTGTTTATTCAAAATCATGGTTGGCTATACCAGAAACCCCAAACATTAAAAAAGAGTCTCCAATGGATCCCTGTGAAAAAAACTGGGAATCCCCGTGAATTCATAATAACAGTGGTAAAACCTGTATAAAGCCTGTGTATAAATAGGGTTTGTGTCCTATAATACGCAAAAGACGTGTGACCATGGAAAAGAGTCTAAAAAGCAATATGTGACCATCGAAAAATAGTCTAAAAAGCAATATGTGACCATCGAAAAATAGTCTAAAATGCAATGTGTGACCATCAAAAAATAGTCTAAAAAGCAATATGTGACCATCGAAAAATAGTCTAAAATGCAATGTGTGACCATCGAAAAATAGTCTAAAATGCAATGTGTGACCATCAAAAAATAGTCTAAAAAGCAATATGTGACCATCGAAAAAGAGTCTAAAAAGCAATATGTGACCATCGAAAAATAGTCTAAAAAGCAATATGTGACCATCGAAAAATAGTCTAAAATGCAATGTGTGACCATCAAAAAATAGTCTAAAAAGCAATATGTGACCATCGAAAAATAGTCTAAAAAGCAATATGTGACCATCGAAAAATAGTCTAAAATGCAATGTGTGACCATCGAAAAATAGTCTAAAATGCAATGTGTGACCATCAAAAAATAGTCTAAAATGCAATGTGTGACCATCGAAAAATAGTCTAAAATGCAATGTGTGACCATCAAAAAATAGTCTAAAATGCAATGTGTGACCATCAAAAAATAGTCTAAAAAGCAATATGTGACCATCGAAAAATAGTCTAAAATGCAATGTGTGACCATCAAAAAATAGTCTAAAATGCAATGTGTGACCATCGAAAAATAGTCTAAAATGCAATGTGTGACCATCAAAAAATAGTCTAAAATGCAATGTGTGACCATCGAAAAATAGTCTAAAATGCAATGTGTGACCATCGAAAAATAGTCTAAAATGCAATATGTGACCATATAAAAGAGTCTAAAAAGCTATGTGTAAACATGGAAATTAGTCCAAAATGCAATTTGTGACCATCAAAAAGAGTCTAAAAAGAACCGGAATATTACATATCAGCCAATTCGGGATCATTACAGCGCTCCGGAATATTACATATCAGCCAATTCGGGATCATTAGCGTGCTCCGGAATATTACATATCAGCCAATTCAGGATCATTACAGTGCTCCAGAATATAAGTGAGACTTACCTGCCAGACCAACCTGACTGAATGAGAGTTCCCAGCGTGGGAAAGCCACATTGTTAACCCTCGCATTGCTGAGGGTTTTAAAGCTATTTGGCAGCTGGTTACTAGTGCTTGCAATGATCATTTACCTGCAAAAAGCAAGCTAATGGTAGTTTGGGAATCTGTCAGACACATTCGGTTTTAAATCTGTTTAAAATCTGTGCTTTGTAAATATTTTGGATACAAAATCGGGGATTTTTATCTGGACACAGGATGCATCCAGCTGATTGCTGCAGATTCACTCGGGCTGACAGGATTCCGAGCATATTGTCGTTAGTAAATATGAGAATTGCCAGTGCAGTCAGAATCTAGTAATTTTCACTGGATTTTGTGTTTATAGAATAACCCTGCTAAGCTTCCTCCAGAGTGAAATCTTTCATCTGGTCTGGGAATCAATCCATACCCAAATAACCGATAATAAACAACTTTTAACAAATTGTTTTGTGTGAATGTAAATAAGTGATGGTGGTATTTTAACTCTATAGATATCACCCATGATGCCCTCATGCTTACCTTGTCCTACTTTCGCCCCCTGAAAGCTCCTCCGCTGTCCTGGTGCATTCATCCTCAGATGTTGCAGCCATGCACTGCGCACACTCCTCTAACTGTTTGCCAGGATTTGTAGTTTTTGCTGCTTTGAATGCTTGGAGTTCTCGCAAACGGGACCGCCTATTTCGCCCTCGTTGACGCTGCCGTAATATTTGTTCGATGCTCATATTTGCTACTCTGTTTCTTTGACGGTGGCGTTCTTTTTGTTCCTCGCTCATGTTGGCAACACGTTTTGTTACTAGTAGCTTTTGGTGATTGCGCAGCCTCCATGCGCGATGCTGCTCTGCTCTCCTGTTCCTTCGCTCTCCTTCAGTAATTAGTAATTTCTGTCGGGGCATGCTTTATATAGAATGTCTGCTATATGTTTCTCTCTGTGCGAGTGTAATATAAAGATACATGTTCAGATCTATATTACAATGTATCTATGTCCCGGTGAGAACTCAATATAACTACCGCTCTGTGTGCCGTTAGAATGCAATGCGTATACCGCTCTGTGTGCAGTTTGAATGCAATGCGTATACCTCTCTGTGTGCAGTTAGAATGCAGTGTGTATACCGCTCTGTGTGCCGTTAGAATGCAGTGTGTATACCGCTCTGTGTGCCGTTAGAATGCAGTGTGTATACCGCTCTGTGTGCAGTTTGAATTCAGTGTGTATACCTCTCTGTTAGAATGCAGTGCGTGTACCTCTCTGTGTGCAGTCAGAATGCAGTGTGTATACCGCTCTGTGTGCAGTTTGAATTCAGTGTGTATACCTCTCTGTTAGAATGCAGTGCGTGTACCTCTCTGTGTGCAGTCAGAATGCAGTGTGCATACCGCTCTGTGTGCCGTTAGAATGCAGTGCGTATACCTCTCTGTGTGCAGTTAGAATGCAGTGTGTATACCGCTCTGTGTGCAGTTTGAATTCAGTGTGTATACCTCTCTGTTAGAATGCAGTGCGTGTACCTCTCTGTGTGCAGTCAGAATGCAGTGTGCATACCGCTTTGTGTGCCGTTAGAATGCAGTGCGTATACCTCTCTGTGTGCAGTTAGAATGTAGTGTGTATATCTCTATGTGTGCAGTTAGAATGCAGTGTGCATACCGCTCTGTGTGCCGTTAGAATGCAGTGCGTATACCTCTCTGTGTGCAGTTAGAATGTAGTGTGTATACCGCTCTGTGTGCAGTTTGAATTCAGTGTGTATACCTCTCTGTTAGAATGCAGTGTGTATACCTCTCTGTGTGCAGTTAAAATGCAGTGCGTATACCTCTGTGTGCAGTTAGAATGCAGTGTGTATATCTCTCTGTGTGCCGTTAGAATGCAGTGTGCATACCACTCTTTGTGCTGTTAGAATGCAGTGCGTATACCTCTCTGTGTGCAGTTAGAATGCAGTGTGTATACCGCTCTGTGTGCAGTTTGAATGCAGTGTGTATACCTCTCTGTTAGAATGCAGTGTGTATACCTCTCTGTGTGCAGTTAAAATGCAGTGCCTATACCTCTGTGTGCAGTTAGAATGCAGTGTGTATACATCTGTGTGCCATTAGAAGGCAGTGTGTATACCTCTCTGTGTGCAGTTAGAATGCAGTTTGTATACGTCTCGGTGTGCAGTTAGAATGCAGTGTGTATACGTCTCTGTGTGCAGTTAGAATGCAGTGTGTATACGTCTGTGTGCCATTAAAAGGCAGTGTGTACACCTCTCTGTGTGCAGTTAGAATGCAGTGTGTATATCTCTATGTGTGCAGTTAGAATGCAGTGTGTATACCTCTCTGTGTGCAGTTAAAATGCAGTGCGTATACCTCTGTGTGTGCAGTTAGAATGTGGTGTGTATATGTCTCTGTTTGCAGTTAGAATGCAGTGTGTATACCTCTCTGTGTGCAGTTAGAATGCAGTGTGTATACCGCTCTGTGTGCAGTTAGAATGCAGTGTGTATACCCTCTGTGTGCAGTCAGAATGCAGTGTGCATACCGCTCTATGTGCTGCTAGAATGAAGTGCGTATACCTTTCTGTGTGCAGTTAGAATGCAGTGTATACACATCTATGTGCCATTAGAATGCAGTGTGCATACCTCTCTGTGTGCAGTTAAAATGCAGTGTATCAGCCTAGATGTGTACCATTAGAATGCAGTGTATCTATTTCTCTGTGTATAGTTCCGATGCAGTGTATAAATATATGTGCAGTAAATCTATATGTTAGAAGGGAGGGTCCAGTGCATCTGTCCCTTTGTGAGCAGTGATGAAGTTTATTTATTGTTACATATGCAGTGAGACTATGCTTGGGATCTCACTAAGTGCATCTATCTTTCAGTACAGTCAGGATCCAGTTAGGATGCTGTTTATCTCTCTCTGTGTGCAGTTAGAATGCAGTGTATCTCTCTCTGGGTGCAGTTAGGATGCAGTGTATCTCTCTCTCTGGGTGCAGTTAGAATGTAGTGTATCTCTCTCTCTGAGTGCAGTTAGGATGCAGTGTATCTCTCTCTCTGAGTGCAGTTAGGATGCAGTGTATCTCTCTCGCTGGGTGCAGTTAGGATGCAGTTTATCTCTCTCTCTCTGGGTGCAGTTAGGATGCAGTGTATCTCTCTCTGAGTGCAGTTAGAATGCAGTGTATCTCTCTCTCTCTGAGTGCAGTTAGAATGTAGTGTATCTCTCTCTCTCTGAGTGCAGTTAGGATGCAGTGTATCTCTCTCTCTCTGGGTGCAGTTAGGATGCAGTGTATCTCTCTCTCTCTCTCTCTGTGCAGTTAGGATGCAGTGTATCTCTCTCTCTCTGGGTGCAGAGAGGATGCAGTGTATCTCTCACTCTCTGGATGCAGTTAGGATGCAGTGTATCTCTCTCTGAGTGCAGTTAGAATGCAGTGTATCTCTCTCTCTCTGAGTGCAGTTAGGGTGCAGTGTCTCTCTCTCTCTGGGTGCAGTTAGGATGCAGTGTATCTCTCTCTGAGTGCAGTTAGCATGCAGTGTATCTCTCTCTGGGTGCAGTTAGGATGCAGTGTATCTCTCTCTCTGGGTGCAGTTAGAATGTAGTGTATCTCTCTCTCTGAGTGCAGTTAGGATGCAGTGTATCTCTCTCTCTCTCTGAGTGCAGTTAGGATGCAGTGTATCTCTCTCTGAGTGCAGTTAGGATGCAGTGTATCTCTCTCTGGGTGCAGTTAGGATGCAGTGTATCTCTCTCTGAGTGCAGTTAGCATGCAGTGTATCTCTCTCTGGGTGCAGTTAGAATGCAGTGTATCTCCCTCTGAGTGCAGTTAGGATGCAGTGTATCTCTCTCTCTCTGGGTGCAGTCAGGATGCAGTGTATCTCCCTCTCTGGGTGCAGTTAGGATGCAGTGTATCTCTCTCTGAGTGCAGTCAGAATGCAGTGTATCTGAGTGGAGTTAGGATGCAGTGTATCTCTCTCTCTCTCTGGGTGCAGTTAGGATGCAGTGTATCTCTCGCTGAGTACATTTAGGATGCAGTGTATCTCTCTCTCTGAGTGCAGTTAGGATGCAGTGTATCTCTCTCTCTCTGAGTGCAGTTAGGATGCAGTGTATCTGTCTCTCTGTGTGCAGTTAGGATGCAGTGTATCTCTCTCTCTGAGTGCAGTTAGGATGCAGTGTATCTCTCTCTGGGTGCAGTTAGGATGCAGTGTATCTCTCTATCTCTCTCTGTGTGCAGTTAGGATGCAGTGTATCTCTCTCTGAGTGCAGTTATGATGCAGTGTTTCTCTCTCTGGATGCAGTTAGGATGCAGAGTATCTCTCTCTGAGTGCAGTTAGAATGCAGTGTATCTCTCTCTCTCTCTGGGTGCAATTAGGATGCAGTGTATCTCTCTCTCTGGGTGCAGTTATGATGCAGTGTATCTTTCTCTCTCTCTGGGTGCAGTTAGAATGCAGTGTATCTCTCTCTGTGGGTGCAGTTAGGATGCAGTGTGTCTCTCTCTCTCTGGGTGCAGTTAGGATGCAGTGTATCTCTCGCTCTCTGGGTGCAGTTAGGATGCAGTTTATCTTTCACTCTCTCTGGGTGCAGTTAGAATGCAGTGTATCTCTCTCTGTGTGTGCAGTTAGGATGCAGTGTATCTCTCTCTCTGAGTGCAGTCAGAATGCAGTGTATCTGAGTGCAGTTAGGATGCAGTGTATCTCTCTCTCTGGGTGCAGTTAGAATGCAGTTTATCTCTCTCTGTGGGTGCAGTTAGAATGCAGTGTATCTCTCTCTCTCTGAGTGCAGTCAGAATGCAGTGTATATGAGTGCAGTTAGGATGCAGTGTATCTCTCTCTCTGAGTACATTTAGAATGCAGTGTCTCTCTCTCGGAGTGCAGTTAGGATGCAGGATGCAGTGTATCTCTCTCTCTCTCTGGGTGCAGTTAGGATGCAGTGTATTTGTTTGTCTGTGTGCAGTTAGAACCCAGTCTATCTCTCTGTGTGCAGTTAGGATGCAGTGTATCTGGGAGCAGATGATATAGAGAGATAATGGGACACAGTGTATATATATATATATATATATATGGGTGCAGTTAGGATAGAGTGTGTCTATCTCTGTGAGCAAATTTGGATACAGTGAATCTCTCTGTGCTCAGTTCATGTACAGTGTACAGAGTGCAGTTAGAATGTATCTATATGCAAATAGAATTGCAGTGTTATGTCGCTGTTGCAGTGATGATGAAGTCTATGTATCTCTGTGATTGGGAGAGATCAGGGTATCTATGTCTCTCTGTGTGCAGCGAGGATTTAGTGTCTCTCTGTGTACAGTGAGGATGTAGTGTGTGTCTCTCTATGTGCAGTTAGGATGCAGTGTGTGTCTCTCTGAGTGCAGTGAGAATGCAGTGTGTGTCTGTGTGCAGTGAGGATGAAGTGTGACTCTCTGTGTGCGGTTAGGATGCAGTGTGTGTCTCTCTGTGTGCAGTGAGAATGCAGTGTGTGTCTGTGTGCAGTTAGGATGCAGTGTGTCTCTCTTAGTGCTGTTAGTATGCAGTGTGTATACCTCTCTGTGTGCAGTGAGGATGCAGTGTGTATCTGTGTGCAGTTAGCATGCAGTGTGTGTCTCTCTGAGTGCTGTTAGGATGCAGTGTGTATATCTCTCCGTGTGCAATGAGGATGCAGTGTGTGTCTCTCTGAGTGTAGTTAGGATGCAGTGTGTGTCTCTCTTAGTGTAGTTAGAATGCAGTGTGTGACTCTCTGAGTGTAGTTAAGATGCAGTGTGTGTCTCTCTGAGTGCCGTTAGAATGCAGTGTGTGTCTCTCTGTGTGCCGTTAGGATGCAGTGTGTATATCTCTCTGAGTGCTGTTAGGATGCAGTGTGTGTCTCTCTGAGTGTAGTTAGAATGCAGTGTGTATATCTCTCTGAGTGTAGTTAGAATGCAGTGTGTGTCTCTCTGTGTGCCGTTAGAATGCAGTATGTATATCTCTCTGTGTGCCGTTAAAATGCAGTGTGTGTCACTCTGTGTGCCGTTAGAATGCAGTGTGTATATCTCTCTGTGTGCCGTTAGAATGCAGTGTGTATATCTCTCTGTGTGCCGTTAGAATGCAGTGTGTATATCTCTCTGAGTGCCGTTAGGATGCAGTGTGTATATCTCTCTGTGTGCTGTTAGGATGCAGTGTGTATATCTCTCTGTGTGCCGTTAGAATGCAGTGTGTATATCTCTCTGAGTGCAGTGAGGATGCAGTGTGTATATCTCTCTGAGTGCAGTGAGGATGCAGTGTGTATATCTCTCTGAGTGCAGTGAGGATGCAGTGTGTATATCTCTCTGAGTGCAGTGAGGATGCAGTGTGTATATCTCTCTGAGTGCAGTGAGGATGCAGTGTGTATACCTCTCTGTGTGCAGTGAGGATATATTGTGTCTCTATTTAGAATGTTTGACTTCCTTTCTAGCTATGCTGACTAGTTTGGTTTCCATAGCAACATGTCAGAAAGAGGGAGAAGACTCCTCTGCATATTATTTTACCATTGGCTAGAATACAGTAGTTCTTGTCTCCTAGGCAACTGTTTGTGTCCCGCAGGTTGCTCCTTCACAGGCATTGGGGGACACTGGGGGACTCACAGAGACCCCTGCAATACATGCCATTAACGATGTTCTGCAGCAGCACAGAATATATTAATATCCAGCAAATACATTACTTATGTTTTTTAATGTACATGTATTCAGTGACAGATAATATACAAGTAAGATAACATAACTGCGGCAAACAGAGACACAGTCACAGCTTTCTTATTTACACAGAACTGCAATAAGACGGCAAATTGAACTACAACGTATATAAATAGTTTACTATTCTCTGGTAATTTCAGACAGGTACTACCCAGGCCTCACTACACACTTCCTAAAAGAGAGCTTCCCTTATTACACAGTGTGTTTAAATTACAGTGTCTTATCTCCTGATCTGTTAATTGTCTGCTAGAGCCAGCAGCCTGTGTGTGAATAAAGTTTCATTAACAGAGTAGACATCTAAAGTAAACACACTGTATTATAAGATCACATACATATAGTTCAATCGCCATGGAGCCAAAGTCTTTCACATAGTCTTTCGTTAAACGAATGGGCTCCATGGCATAGCTATCTGGGGTAGCTCTGTTCATCTGTTTAATGTCTCAAATGGAGAAAAATGTGCACCTTTAGGTGAAAAATTTCCAACCAAAAGGATACACAGAAAAATGGGTTATGGGGTACTAGAAAGGGCCTCACCCTTATATTAACCAATATATAGAAAAAGAAGAGGAGACAATATCCCTGAAACACAGGAAACAAATCCCCTCAATCTTAGTACCCCTTCTGGAGCAGTGTATTTGCCCACTACCGTGTATTACAAAAAATAATAAAGTTTTATTAGGATCATAAAGATCTCATATGTGAAATCATAATACAGCAAACTAGTATTGGCAAAAAATGAGGGAACACAAAAAAGAGCAACCTGAAAAGTATATATCCAATCCGTGTAACTTGATACCACTTTTCAAAATTACAATAAAGAAGTAGTAAAAAGAAAAAAGAAAACTACTTCAAATTACAACAAATTAGCAACAGTATCCAGAGAATTACACATAGGAGCCTAACAGGAGCAAAAAGTGCATTCTAGTTCCCTCAAGTTGCCAATAAATTAAATCTTCACTGTTTAAATAACTATAGATATAGGGATATATATACATGGTCCTAGTATTATTCTACAGGTATAGCCTAGCCATAGTGGCTCCATATATCAAGTCAAAAAGTTGGTAAATCGAAAGGATAGTAAGATATCAGTGAAGAGAGAAAAATAAAGTGAGGAAGAAATAAAGAGAGTTAAATAGGTCTAAAGGGACCCTGGACTATAATTCACGAAGTATAAAGAACGTGCAAAAAACTGTGAGTGTCCATATCTTCTCTCCCCCCTACACACACAAAAAGAAAAGAAACCCAACGCGCGTTTCGGCGGTAACGTCCGCCTTTATCGAGGGTGATAGTGTGCAAACGATCCTCCTTCCTCCCCTCCCTTATGTACGTTTGTAATTGGCGCCAAAACAGGGGACTCTCCAATAGGCTGAGCCCCTGTTTCGTTACGCCTACATAATTTGCCGGTAGGCGGTCCCGTGTTCGTATATGCAAAACGGGACAAAAGGCGCATGCGCCAAATGCCGGCATTCAGCCGGAGAAAAGCGCAGGCGCATAGCACACCGGCATCACAACAACCCCCGCATTGGTAACAAAGCCGCAACAGTGTATATTGTAAAAGCTGTTTCACAAGCGTTTAGCCAAAACGGCCGGATACAAAGTATCATCTTATAAAGTCTTTCACAAATACGAATCCCTTGTAGTTATAACTAGGATAACATCATATATATAAACAGGTAATAAAGTAGATAACAAGTAATAGCATATAGTGTTCCCATAGTTAAAAGACAAAAAGGGGATGAGTATAATAAATATATATATAGAAGACAAAAGAAATGGGGTTTAAGGAGTAAGCGGAGGAGGAATAAATTAGAGATAGACAATAATACAAAAATAAATAAAATAAATTAAAAAACTTCTATGTATACAAGTAAATAAGTAGGTAATAAAATCTTAAAGAGGCAGGTCCAGGTAGTGACAGTACCCAAAGGGTTAAACAGAATCTTAGAATAATATAGACAGAACTAGACTCCCAAGCAGAATCAATCAATACAAATAAGATACATGCTTATGAATCTATAGTTCAGTAAATTGCTGTGATCCCGATATCACATGTAGAAAATGTATATATATAGAGGCATGCCTACATATAGGTGTATATCTATATAGTAACAGATCAAATAAATGGGGCAAAGGAGAAGCCCTCATTTAAACCCAAAGGTTGTAGTGTCTTAAGTCTATAAATCCACCTAGACTCTCTCTGTCTTAATAAACGATCATAGTTCCCTCGCCTCGGATGTCTCTTAACCCATTCAAGACCACAGAATTTCAGGTTACTAGAATCGCTCCCATGACATTCTCTAAGGTGTCTTGAAATTGGTGTTTCAAGGCGATTCCTAGGGGACCTTACATGTTCCATAATCCTTTCTTTGAAAGCTCTAAAGGACTTGCCTACATATTTTTGTCCACATGAACAAGACAAGAGATACACCAGACCCTTCGTACTACAATTAAAAAAGTTTTTAATCTTAATAGAGACTTGGCCAGTACTATCATAGACTACCTTAGATTCCTTCAAAATAAATTTGCAAGCTACACATCTACCGCAGCCATAGGACCCACATGGAGGGTTACCCAACCATGTATCCCTTCGCTGCGGTTTAGTGGATAAATGACTTGGTACTAATAGGTCACGAATATTGCGTCCTCTTCTGGCCGTAATGTTGATACACGGACCTAGGATTTCCTTCAAATGTGGATCGCTCAAGAGGATCGGCCAGAATCTATTTAAACAATTTTTTACTTCGGACCATCCCGTGTCATATGTGGCAATCATCCGAATGTTGCCTGTATTTTTCAAAGATGTATTCCTGGGGTGGTCACTAAGAAGTTCTTTCCTATCAATTTCAAGTGCTCTCTTATAAGCTTTTTTGAGGCAGCGATTTGGGTAGCCTTTCTCCTTGAAATATAGACGAAGCTGGTTTGCCTTTACTTTGAAATCCAATACATCGCTACAATTTCTCCGGAGGCGAAGATATTGGCCAACCGGAATTCCCGCCTTAAGGGGCCTGGGATGATAACTCTTCCAATGGAGTAGGGAATTTGTAGCAGTTGGTTTTCTATATAAAGTAGACTGGAATGTCCCATCCTCATTGATGGAGATTGTGATATCTAGAAAATTAATTGTGCGTCCACCAAATTCCGAGGTGAATCTAAGGTTCTCATTATTCTGGTTTAAGCATTCCACTAAGTTTGTAAATTCCTGTATGGACCCCTGCCATACCAACAAAATGTCGTCGATATAGCGTCCCCACCATAAAATCTTAGGGAGGTAATCTCTCAGGGTCTCTGAGGAAAAAATTTATTTTTCCCACCATCCCAGGTGAAGGTTTGCATATGAAGGGGCACAAGCCGTCCCCATCGCAGTGCCCCTCACCTGGTGATAAAACTTGGTGTTAAACAAAAAATAATTATGTGATAGAATAAATTCTAGAAGGCATACCACAAAGTCTGCATGAAGGTCATCTCTACGCTTCCTCTGGTTTAGAAAGAATCTTACATGTTCCAAACCCCTATTATGAGGGATAGATGAATAGAGTGATTCAACATCTAAACTACAAAGGTTTGCACTTGGAGATAGCTTAAGGTTAGAAAGTAGATTCAAAGCTTGCTTAGTGTCCCTTATGTATGATGGCAAAGTCTCTACCAAGGGTCTCAAAATTTTATCCACATACAGACTGCCATTTTGCGTAAGATTGTCTATCCCAAACGTACATAAGGGAGGGGAGGAAGGAGGATCGTTTGCACACTATCACCCTCGATAAAGGCGGACGTTACCGCCGAAACGCGCGTTGGGTTTCTTTTCTTTTTGTGTGTGTAGGGGGGAGAGAAGATATGGACACTCACAGTTTTTTGCACGTTCTTTATACTTTGTGAATTATAGTCCAGGGTCCCTTTAGACCTATTTAACTCTCTTTATTTCCTCCTCACTTTATTTTTCTCTCTTCACTGATATCTTACTATCCTTTCGATTTACCAACTTTTTGACTTGATATATGGAGCCACTATGGCTAGGCTATACCTGTAGAATAATACTAGGACCATGTATATATATCCCTATATCTATAGTTATTTAAACAGTGAAGATTTAATTTATTGGCAACTTGAGGGAACTAGAATGCACTTTTTGCTCCTGTTAGGCTCCTATGTGTAATTCTCTGGATACTGTTGCTAATTTGTTGTAATTTGAAGTAGTTTTCTTTTTTCTTTTTACTACTTCTTTATTGTAATTTTGAAAAGTGGTATCAAGTTACACGGATTGGATATATACTTTTCAGGTTGCTCTTTTTTGTGTTCCCTCATTTTTTGCCAATACTAGTTTGGTGTATTATGATTTCACATATGAGATCTTTATGATCCTAATAAAACTTTATTATTTTTTGTAATACACGGTAGTGGGCAAATACACTGCTCCAGAAGGGGTACTAAGATTGAGGGGATTTGTTTCCTGTGTTTCAGGGATATTGTCTCCTCTTCTTTTTCTATATAATGTCTCAAATGGTCTGGCGTTCATATGAACGAATGAGATATGAGAAGGGAGGTCGGCGGCATCAGCGGTGTTCGTGAAGAAAAGTGTCCATTTTCAGCTCCAGAGTTTTGTAGTTGAACACCGCTGGCCGTGTTCGGCTATACGAACAACGGTCACTCAGCGTTCGTCAATTAAGCTGCGGTTAACCGCAGCTTCTGGGAGGTAAA